CATCTCTACAAAAAATATAGAAAAATTAGCTAGATGTGGTGGTGTAGGCCTCTAGTCCCAGCTACTCCGGAGGCTCAGGCAGGAGAATTGCTTGAGCCTGGGAGTTTGAACTTGCAATGAGCTATGATGATGCCACTGCACTCTAGCCCAGGAGACAGAGCGAGACTTTGTCTCAAAAATAAATAAATAAATAAAAATAAAATGAAGTTGGGCTAAGATATATAAATGGGGCAATTAGTTTGACTAATATAGAACATGTCTGTGTTTACATGTTTGTTTCACAACTGAGTACAAGGGTTAAACCATTTGAATTTCACAACTATAAGTCATTAAATTTATTTTGAATGCAGTATGTGAGCCAATTCCTCTCAGTATTTTAGCTGAATAACATAACATCATTAAGACACTTAGCTGACAAATGTTTTTCTTTTTAATAAAATTCTAACAGTATCTGAATTCATTTGCAACTACTAGTTCAAGTTGATATATAAAAATTATTCAGCAAAATATAGTGTGGTTTTTTTCATGGCATAAATTACAATGGATAGACAAATAAAAAAGGTAAATTAGCTGGAAAAAAATTCATATTTAGCTGATTTACAAGTGTAATTTTAAAGACTTACAGTTTCTGTGTCTGGGATCTTATGGGGCTGAAGCCCAAATTCCAAGTTCTTAACCTTTACTCCAAAAACTTCTTTACTAAAAATTTCATAAATACCTAAAATGAAATACAAACATATTTACATTGCCCATAATGTTAGCAAAGAAAAAAGATGAAATTTAAAAATAAATCTTACATTTTCCATTAAACACTGCTATTCGTGGCTGATATTTCTGTAATTTCTGTACTAGAATACGTCCTCCTTCACGAAATTCTTTACTAAAATTGAATTAGAAAGTAGTCAAAAATATAAATATGGCGATATTTATAATATGCTGAATCCAGGCAGCTTTCAATAAAAGATCACATCACACATTTGTTAAGTTCAGCTTGAACAAGATACACATGGTGTTCCTAGAGTATATAGGTACCAGCATGGTCAAGATTCCAACTCGTAAAAATAAATGCTGTGTAATTACCTAGAAAGATCTTTGCTTCCTGGCGTTGTCCTTTCCACCATATTGGTAAACCCAATACCATACTTTCCTGGCAAAGTGTGGTCATCCATATGACTCAGTTGGACCTCACTCAGTCCTGACATAAACAAACACTTCCCTGTGAAAAGAGAGTTCAGTTTATTTCTGCAGAAGGTCAAAGGCTTTTGTTCAAAGAGCTGATGTGGTAGTCTACATTCTTATTCTTGAAATTTAAAAAAAAGATTTAGGATATTTAAAATTATAACATAGGATAAATACGTGCTGAGCAATTACTATGTGCTGGGTAATATGCTAAGCCCTTCTCATGGATTATCTCATTTAGTCACAATTATCTTATGAAATACTATTATGGTCTCCTTTTCACAGGGGGTTATGGTAAATGTCTTTCTGAGAATAAATAGCTACTTAGTGTAGGAAACTTTAAAATTATTTGTTTTCCTTTTCAATAATTGGTGATACCACCACCTGCTCCTGGAATACCTCACAGATAAACATGTGAACCAATAGACCAAAAACACTCAAACACTTTGACAGTGGAGAAAATTAAAAGTTCCCTAGAAGAAAACTAGACTTCTCTAGAAAAAACTTGCCTAGGAAAAAAATCTTTTAAAATAATAGAGACGGTATGTTATTAGTTCCAAAAACACATTACTATCATTTTCCCTATACGTTTTTAATATTACCATAAGATAATCAATTAGTATTTCCTGAGAGCCTACTGCATGCATTGTTCTAGTAGGCAGTGTTACATAAGACAACTGACACATACATAGCGCAATGCAATAGTAGTTATACTTGGTTGTAAAGCTCACTTTAAAAGTACGAGTCTTTATTACTATTTTCTGCTTTCCTAGGAAATCGACAAGAATCTAGAAAGTCAGTATTCTGTCTGCATTGTCACAAACATGTGCTATTATTACTATGTCTATAGATAACAATTTTTAAAAAATTATTTAGGCCAGCCACAGTGGCTCACTCCTGTAAACCTGGCACTTTGGGAGGTAGAGGCAGGGAGATCAGTTGAGGCCAGGAATTTGAGACCAGCCCGGACAAGATAGCAAGACCTCGTCTCTGTGAAAACTTTAAAAATTAGCCCATGTGGTGGCAAGCGCCTACAGTCCTAGCTGCTCGGGAGGCTGAGATGGGAGGATTGCCTGAGCCAGCAGGCTTACTGAGGTTACAGTAAGCTATGATAGCGCTACTGCAATCCAGCCTGGGAGACAGAGTGAGACCCTGCCTCTAAAAAAAAAAAAAATTTAAAAAAAGTAGTAAAGCTCATTAAAAACAATTCAAGCAAAAGGGAAAGTACTTTTTCATGTCCTTCTGAAACTTTTATACACCACGATGTTAATGGTGACATATCATTTTAAACTCTTTATTTTCATGTACATACAAACACAGAGAACATGAAACATCAATACATATTTACAAAGTCTCTTTCTTTTTAAAAATACAATTTAAAAAAAAATCCCATTAACAAAGATAAATAACTTGAAAGTAAATTAATAAAAAAAAGTAACCACTTACAGAAATGGTTTCCAGGTCCAGGGTAATGATGCCCTTTGTAAGCAGCCATGAGTCCTGGGTTTATGCCAATCTATAAAACAAAATAATTATACATTTTAGTCTTAAAAGGTAGGACTTAAGCCTTAGGGCTTCTATGGAGCAATGGTAAACAAAACTGAATTGATCAAAATATAAATCTAGCATCATAAGCAGTATCATTTATCAATGACTACTCTTGGTTTGCACAAAGTATTCCACATAGAGGAAAGCAATTTCCTTTATATTAAAAGTTTTGCTGTTCTTTCTAAAAACCACTTCGACTCCCTTGTGATCCTAGGCCCGACTGGGCTGCCTTCAGTCTGAAAAAAGAGAGGTCCTACTCAATCAACCTGAGCTGCCACAAGTCTGGTTTTTAACTCCCAACAAGTAGCTTACTCCACATCACCTACACAGTTGTGCACATGCTGATGTGTCCTACAGTTACCGACAAAAATAAAAGTTCAAAATCAGTGCTATCATTTATGGCGTTCTCACAGGTATCATGTAATCTAAGTAATCCACATGGATTATTTCATTTAATTACAACCCTGTGAGGGAGGTATTTTTATCACCCCTGGTATATCAATGAGGAAACTGGTGTTTAGAAAGGTTAAGGCTTGTCCAAGGTCATACCTGAAACAGGATTTGAACCCAGACAGCCCCAATCTGGTGCTTATCCCCCATAAAACACAATCTCATGAAGGTGACACTGTTTACCACCAAAAGGATTCTTAGAAATGTTTCTTTTCAGCAAAATGCTATTTACAAAAACAACTGTTAAGTAAAGCTAATCCCTCCATGCTATTTATAAAATCAAACGATGGCTTCTCATCACCAAGAAAT